TACTTATTTGTAAACCAGCAAAAAAAATTACGCCAGTAATTAATTATTAATTATAATATATTTTAATAACTATAATTAATTAATAGATAAGTAGGATTATAATTATAATATAATAATTACTATTATTATTTAATCTTATTATTAACAGTATTATTAAATTATAACCACGAAATGCTGACATTAAATAACATTAGCGCGTTGCTCAGTCGAATTCTGGCAACAACGGTGATGACATCAACAACTTTAACAATAGTTACATCAACAACAACAACAACAACATCAACAGTATGTCGCATATCCTGGATCCTTACAAGCAACACCTACTCCACCGGAGGCTCGCTGGATTCTTCCTCAACGACAGTGGACCAGTGCCTCAACAACTGCCTAGTTGACCAGTACTGCAAGGGAGTTCAAACCAGGACCACGATCTCCAGCCCGGTCCAGTGTGTCAGGTTTTACACCGAACAGTTTGGTGTGAACTCTGCTCTGCTGGTTGGCTACGACCAGTACCTGCTGCAGTCCAGATGTACTAATACAACTGGTTTGTTGTTGATTATGCTGATGTTGTTGATGTTGTTAATGTTGAGGTTGTTATTGTTGATTATGTTGATGTTGTTAATGTTGTTGTTGACGTTGTTGTTGTTACTGAGGTTGATTGTTGAAGTATTCGGAACATTGAAAAAATTTAATGTCGTTTATCCCCAATGTTAGCGCAAACCAGCGCCAACCAAATGTAAAGTAGAACATCAACAACAATAAATACATTAACAAAAATGGCAACAATGTATTTAAGAGACAAACTTATTCCAATAATATATGCCTATATTTTGTTATTTATTGTTCTATGGGAGTCAACCATAGATAAGCATTTATTGCTGACTCTTTCACTTTTTTGTGAATAAAATGGATTTAAAAAAAAACAATATTAGAAACAGAAGCACAAATTCAACCCCCCAACGACAGGATGTTCAGTGAGGTGGGAATTCTGGACGGATACGAAATCCTTTACCCTGGGAATCCGATACCAATACATCACGGACGTGCCCACGTGCCTGGTCACGTGTCTCCTGACCGCGAACTGCATAGGGATTGATTTCAAGAAGTTCTCAACGCCCAACGAGTGCTACCTACATGTGGGAGACAGCATGCAGAAGAACTTGTTCACACAGGAATACGACCAATATGTTCTGATGGATCGATGTGTCAACGTCAACCAGTGTATGTGGTGTTTGTTTGTTTGTGTGTGTTTGTTTGTTTGTGTGTGTATGTGTGTGTGTATGTGTGTGTGTGTGTGTGTGTGTGTGTGTGTGTTTGTTTACGTGCAGTTTTTAGGAATCAATTTTAAAATAAAAAATAAACAAAATTTTAAAAAATTGATCTCCAACTAATGAAGCGTCGACGACTGGCGGAGTGGTGTCATTCTCAACCACCAGCCTGCCGAGCACTAGTAAGTCCATAACAAGCAATTCATTTTACATTTCATTTTGTAATTCATTTTACAATTCATTTTACATTTCATTTTGTAAATCATTTTACAATTCATTTTGCAATTCATTTTGCAATTCATTTTTTTCTAAAGTACGAAACTTCAAATTCGTTTCAAATGATATTAAAAAAAATTCTGAAGAGTAACTTAAATCACTAAACAGACGACAGATGCTGGACCGAAAGGAGAAACTCCCAATACGTAGGTCTTCAACTCCAGTCCACACTTACAACGCTGGCCTCTTGTAAGGATTACTGTGCTAGGTGAGAAGGCGTGTCGTTTTGTAGGTTTGTATGTGTGGTTGTTCGTGTGGTGGTTTGTGTTGTTGGTTGTGTGTGTGTTTGTGTGTGTGTTGTTGTTTGCGTGGTTGGTTGTGTTGTTGTTTGTGTGAACGGTTGTGTTGTGTTCTTGTAAAAATTGAATGTTTTTTGTGTTGTTGTTTAAACGAAAATTTCTCTGTTTTTGTTGGCGGATGTCTCTGAAGAACATTCAACAACACCATCCTGCAGCATTAATAATTATATAAAGATACTGCTAATGGAAATATTTTAATTATTATTACTATTATTATTACCCAAAAATAATAATAATGATGATAATAATAATAATAATAAGAAGAAGAAGAAGAATAAGAAAAAGATGAAGAATGTTGTTGTTGTTGATGCGAGTAGTTGTGTGTGTGATTAGTTGAGTTGGCTCTGTTCAACGTTACCCGCAATAAGATGGGCACCTAAATCAGCCTCTCACTATTAAACGAAGAGTCTTTTTATAAACAATTCTGCTACAACAAGAACATTCACGCTGATTTTTCTTACAAAAAATAAGAAAACTATTAAGTCTCGAAAGCGCACATGGCAAGCATATATTCGGGCAGCTGGAAGAACAATACGGACAAACAAACATGTAGATCTGGAAAACAAATTAGATGGTGAAAATTACACCTCTGGTTATTGTTTCTGCAAATAAATCAAAAAGAAACCTGGTTCAAATTCGCTTTCCGCTCGTATCGTCTGTTTTTAAAAGGGCATTTTCATTTCAGTGCAGTTTATTAGGCTCTTAAGCAACAAGGCGGCGAAGTCTTCAATTATTTTCATATTTAAAAAACTTTTGCTATGAAGTTTTTCAAAAATATCTTGCCATCAAATAAAATTATTTCAACTAAGAAATTTTAATATTAAAGAATGCGATAATAAAACAAATACTCTAAGTCGTTTTTTTGCCAGAGTCTACCGAAGATACAATTTGATTCAAACTTGTCACCAGACCATCTTTAGAATTCTCTTATTAGTGTTTCATCGACTTTGCAGCGGCAAGCACTGCACACACACACACACACACACACACACACACACACGCACGCACGCACGCACGCACATATCAGGAAGTGTAGTTGTTACATTAGCAAACGATATAATTATGTTTGTGTGAGTGTTGCAAAACTGCAAAAAAAGGTTGGCTAACCCGTCGTAATTTGAATAATTTTTATTCTAAACGTGATTTTACCTGGACAGCAACCTGGCTTGCCTTCTCCTAATCCGTCCCTCTGTCTATAAGTGTGAATTATAATAAAAGTATCAAGACCTACCCAGCAATGTTGGGTTCTGTTTAATTTCAAAATTCAGCGGTGACAAAGAATTTAGGTTTAACTTGTACGGTTTTATTTTCAATTAACTCTATTTGAAAATAACAAAATGTTAAACAAATAGAAGGACAAATAGAAAGTTAAATGGCTTAAAACGAACCACGATGACAGATTACCATCATGCGTCTTAATCGACATGGACTATAACAGCAGCCCACCTACCTGCTGGATTCAGATGGTCGGAGGGATCAACGACATCATCTCCAGCAACTTGATTCCAGCCCAAAATATCATCAACTATATACTGAATAGGAACTGTTTAACTGCATGCTAGTGCTTTTCTATTGAATGTTTTAAAAATTGTTTTATTTCTAAAAACGTTTTTTTCTGAATTATTAATTACAGGAATATAAATTATTAAAAAGTGTGACGTGTGTGTATGTATTTTTATATGCATGCATGTATATATGTGTGTTTGTTACGTATCTAGATGTGTATGTATGTATGTATGTATGTTTGTTTGTATGTATGTATGTTTGTTTGTATGTATGTATGTATGTATGTATCTATCTATTTATGCAAGTGTGTGTATGTATGTATGTATGTATGTATGTATGTATGTATGTATGTATGTATGTATGTATGTATGTATGTATGTATGTATGTATGTATGTATGTATGTATGTATGTATGTATGTATGTATGTATGTATGTATGTATGTATGTATGTATGTATGTATGTATGTATGTATGTATGTATGTATGTATGTATGTATGTATGTATGTATGTATGTATGTATGTATGTATGTATGTATGTATGTATGTATGTATGTATGTATGTATGTATGTATGTATGTATGTATGTATGTATGTATGTATGTATGTATGTATGTATGTATGTATGTATGTATGTATGTATGTATGTATGTATGTATGTATGTATGTATGTATGTATGTATGTATGTATGTATGTATGTATGTATGTACGTATGTATG